GATGATTATGTAACAAACATACCAAACACATTTATAATCTTATATAAATAGTAAATAATATAATAACAACGTATGTATATAGTTATTATAGTATAATATTTAAAAAGTAGTATAACTACGTTTTCAAAATTAAGTCTTCAAAATGTGGGACATTGTCCCACAAATTTAGTATCTTAATATTTCCGATATACCACCGAGTTAAAGCTTGTTATTTTTTGAGTTGATAGTCTACATTATTAGCTACATTTTGAACTAAATTATAAGCTTTAATATTGCATAACATGAGCACAAAAAATTAAAAACGAAAATCACTAAATCGCCGATTTCTCGGTTCCTACAAGCTCTAGGGCAGCCATAGAAGACTCATAATATGGATAAAAATAATACCTTTTGAAATACAATGTAAAAAATAAAATAACTGTAATAGTTTAGACAAAATATTTTTTTTATTTCTTTTTCACAATGTGGTACAAAAAAAGAAAAACCGGGATTTCGTCGAAACTATTATAGTTAGAATCGTGGGAGTTTTACTCTTGCGCTTAGAATGAAGAGCTTTATCTGATTCACCTTTAATCAAGGGAGTGGTAATTTTGAGGTGAAATAACACAATGTGGGCTGATATGATAATGACATGTAATACAAAGGAGATAGCTCAGCTTCCATACATGTTTGGCCTAAAGACCAATAATCATGAAAAATTGTTTCCTAGATTCGAAATTATATATATAATATAATTACTGTAGAAACGAATATTATTGACGGACACCCCTGAGAACTTCTATAAACCATATACACTGAACATATTAAAATAATAAAAAGCAAATAAGTTATATAGTAAACTTGGGAAATCAAGCCAAGTACCGAAATTATGGATTAGATTCAGGTATATAGAGCATGTAGATTAACAGATAGTTGCCTGTTTTTAAAGTTAATGCATAAGAGTAACTTTTAAAATCAGGTGTCATTTCCGTTTATAATAAGGTACTCTGTGACAGAAACTGTGTGATAATTGTGAATGAGCCACAGATTAGAGAGAATTTTTAAACTCTCGTTAACCAAAGAAAGCTAAGAGATTTACACCCGGTTTCTGAAACGCATGCCATCGAAAAAATTACGTAACAAGTTGTTAATCTCTATTTAAATGCACATTGGGTTTCTCAATGAGCAGTTTGTCAATGATTTGTTGTTGCAAATGTCAAATCTCGAATTAATGTCCGATTGCGGTAGTTTTTGGTTTCCGGAAAGCTTTTTTGTATGTTAACTGCATGTTAACGTTTTGTTGTGTTTTAATAAGTAATTGGTGCAAAATTGATCAATTAACAGACTGTCAAAAGAAATTTTACTGATATTTTGGTCAGAGGATTGTTGTAGTGGCAGTAAAAAATGTTGTCAGATTTATCTGCTGACGATATATCCCTATCTAGTGACGAGGAAGATTTGGCACCAACTCGCCAGTTCCGGAAACGAATGAATCCTGTAATTCATTACAATGATGAAGAATTTAAGGATCGCTACAGGATTTCAAAATCTGTTTTCCATCAACTGATGGGAAAACTGACACACCTGGAACTTAAAACGAACAATGATTGTACACTAAAGCCTTCCTAGAATTATGGCTAACCCAACATAAAAAGAATATTTCAATTCAGTTCAGCAGTTCCTGATGTTAACGCGTTCAAACAAACATCATATATTGTAGTTTATATCAGATTTACACTACAATTATTTTACTTTTTATTTGCTTTAGAAGTAAATTTCAATTCTTTAATTTTTATTTCTAAATTTTTCTATTTTTTTCCAAGTCACGTTTTTTTTCCACTTCTATTATTGCTTTGTACCTACATTGAAATATATATTATCAATATATTTACAAATTTTAAATGCCAAAAGCAGATCGGTTTCTTTGTATAGGTTAGAAAGCTTGATTTGAACAACTGATTTGTACCTATTAGGTACTTACTTATCCACTATTGTTAAAAGCTCCCTCTTCTCTCGCTCCGTATAGTTTTTTCGTGACATATTATGTGAAAACTTTACAAATGAAAATAAATTTCAATGTTTTCGGTACACACAATTGCTTCTATTTTTCTGACTTCTAAATAAAAGTCACTTATAAGTTGTCAAAAGATAGAGACAAAGCTATGCGTTAGTCAGAAACAAAACATGAATGATCGAATGAAAGTGACTGGTTTTAGCTAGGGTGGCCGGACTAATAAATAAATCCTGTCTTAACAGTAGATTCGTTAATTTTTCGGTAAATATCTTTTCAGAAACCCACAGTTGCTTAACAAATTGTTAATTATGACAGTTCGTTAACTAATTCAATATTTGGCATGCTTTTCAGAAACCGGGTGTTAGGTTCTATAGCCATATATTCAGTAGCTTCATTATTTTTGTTATGTTTTTAAGATAACCATATTTTAGATTTTTAGGTGTATCACACCTTATAATTGTATTTATTTATTAATTTATAGTCAGGGAACGTAGGCCCATAGAAAGATACCTTAAAGTCTAACATATATACAGATTATAATGTGTTTATGGAGGTGTTTGGCGAAAAATGTATGGCAATAGACTTTATGATGTCGCCTACCATCTATAATAATTTCCTGAGCACATTTGCATGTAGTTAAAATGATAATATAGTTGTGGATATTAATACCACATTGTAATTAAAAAAAATATATATTTCATCGATCTTTACAAAATAGATTTGTTTTTATGTTGTATAAACAACTTCGATCAGTCTTTGGCTGAATGTTACTACACCCATAGCCATTAAAAATGATACGTATGTTTAAAAGTCCTTTTTAAAGTAAATATATTATACCTGACTGTAAATTAAATTATAAATTACGCCAAGAATTACCGTGTATGTCAATATTTTTTGTGCATTTGGGCCAATTTGAGCTATCTCCTTTGCGTGGGAAGTTTGACAGATTTATCTTTTTGCGGTATTATTTTCTCCATTTCCTTGTTTAAGTGTATCTCCAGTTTCAGCTGTTTTAAAGGCAGACGAGCATTTAGACGTTTTTAAATATTTATTTTGACAGAATATTATTTTCAAAATTTATATCGTAAAATAATATTTAAAAAATCAACATTCGGGCCTGGAGCCAATATTATGATAAGATATTTTCAAGATAATTATATACTACATTACATACATTATTCTGTCGATGCAGACCTGAAAAGGCTGCGAAACGTCAATAAATTAATAAAGTTCGTGCATTAATCCGTTAAAAATATTGTTCTACGACTCAAATTGGCCCCTTTACGTCTTTTTGGCATTGCTGATTGTACATAGAACATAATATAAATAAATGAAGTTAAAATACTTACACAAATAGAAATATTTTTTTATATTTGATAAGCTTTATCAACTGTTAATAAATAATTATTCAACATCATAGGATCTAATGAATATTTAATAATAGTTAACAAATTATTTATTAAATACGATTTATTTAATGTTACATTAACTATTAATAAATATACTTTATCCCCAAATGAATATTTATTGAATGTAAAAAAATATTTATTAAAGTTGTCTTCAAAGAAATTAAAATATTAATAGTTAATAAATCCTTCCATCAGTGTATTGGTAAAAAACAGTGACTTAATATATGTATGATAAGATATATATTTTCAAAATATCTGTATAATAATTATTATTATTATATCGTATTCATTTGTTTATTATTTGACTTACCTTTCACAATAATGAAAAAGGTATATTTATTAAACTTGTACACGCTTTCGTTTTGATTTAAAACTATTTTCAAAAAGCGTTTATTACAATATATACAGGTACAGTAATGGCCGTTGTTGGCGGGAGATCACAACACGTGTTTATTTATATGAGATCACTTAATTAACTAATAGTTAAAACTGTCTTTATCAGTTATTAATAAAATGTGAAAAAATAATTATTGCACTGGAAATTAATAATAAATTCACGATGAGAGTAAAATTAACGTAATAGAAGCACCGAAAAATTAAAATAATACGTATAAGTCACTGCTACGATCGATACACAAATGAAATAAAAAAATGGCTCAAAACTGTATATTGAGGAAGACAGGAGACCGGCTTCCTTCTCATCCCTACTTCGTGATATTTGCTGGATGAAAGGTGACCCAGGTAGACATCTAGCTGGGATAACTGATCGATTGATCGTTGATCGGTTATCAACCGGTGAAGGCGGAAGATCAAATTGAATTGAGAGAAAAAAAAGAAATTAATAATAATAAAAATCGCGATGGTAAAATAGGGGTTGATTGTAAAGGGTTGAAAATTCAGGGTTATATGTATTTACTAATGCTGTATCATAAAAAAATAAAAATTAACTAAAATTAAAAAAACAAATTTAGGGGTGGATTACCCTTAACATTTAGGGGGATGAAAAATAGATGTTGTCCGATTCTCAGACCTACCCAATATGCACACAAAATTTCATGAGAATCGGGAAAGCCGTTTCGGAGGAGTTTAACCACAAACACCGTGCAACAAAAATCGCGATGGTAAAATAGGGGTTGATTGTAAAGGGTTGAAAATTCAGGGTTATATGTATTTACTAATGCTGTATCATAAAAAAATAATAAAAAAAATATGTCTAAAATTGAAAAAAAAAAATTTGGTTTGGATTACCCTTAACATTTAGGGGGATGAAAAATAGATTACATCCGATTTTCAGACCTACTAAATATGCATATAAAAATTCACGAAAATCGGTCGAGCCGTTTCGGAGTAGCTTAACCACAAACACCGCGACACGAGAATTTTATATATTAGATTAATACATTGTTAAAACCAGGTGAAACTTTAACCCCCTTATTAATAAACGAGGAATAAGCTTAGACTAGTTACGCCGTGATTTGTCCATATCACTCAAATGACATTTGTAATTTAATAAACAGAGTTTAAACATTGAGTATCTTAGCTTATTATTTGTTTATAAATAAGGGGTAGAGTGTTCTAATATGCTGTTTTGAAACTAGGAGAGTGTCGAGCTGATGATTCTGAAGACGCGCGCTAGTTGCGGAGAGGGTCGCGACGAGGAGATATCGCCGCTTTGTTGGCGTTGCAGACGACACACGCCGCCTCTATGCGCCACTAGATGTCCCCACTGTCGGCATGCCCTTGCGCATTCATTAGCGACACACGGTATTGAAAACATTTAGAATATTTTTTTTTTAATTCAATTAAAAATAGCTTTATTCAAATAGAAAGCATTATGCAACTCTTTTGAATCGTCCATATTTTTTCCCTACTGTTGAGGTTCTATACCTCATCTTAAAAATAATAAGTGGCAGATGTCACATTAACAAAAAAAGGAAAATGGTCTCTCACATTATTATTCGTAATTTGTTATTTTTCTCTAAAATATATTCCGTTCTTTAAAAAATAGTGTTTTCCTTAAATTGAATATTTTGAAAATACTATCGCTCCTTCGAACCTATTTATTTAATTGTTTACAATATCATCTGGCGACCGTGGGATAAATTATGGAGCGGACGAAAACCGAGAGATCTGTGGCAAGAAGACGATTCACAATTTGTGCTAATAAGCTAGAAAACATCGTAAGTACTGCAAAAAACAAAGATGATATTGCCGTAGAATTTAACAAACTGACTAATATACAGGGTGGCCGGGGAGTTCACGTTCAAGCGTAAAATTTAGATACTTTATGATGAGGAGTATCCAAATCACCCCCATGTATGTTCGACGATTTTGCGTAGTTTTCGAGTTATAATTTTTTTAATGCTTTTTTTCGTAATTACCATCTAACATCCGTTTTCGATTTTTTTCTCAGTCTGTTGGACGTTTCTGGTTCAGTTCTTTTGTAATAACTGACTAACATAGTCTAACCTATCACCCTAAAACTTATGGTTTATCTAGGCATTGCAGAATTCACTTAGAATTTGTTCGAAAGTTCAAAATTACGATTTGAGCTCAGTACACACAAATTTTTAAAGTATCAAAATAAAAATGTAAATGGGTGGATTATGAGTTCAAAGTGCTTTTAGAAACTTCCTGAGACATTAAACTTTCAAACAAGGCCAAATAAAGAAACGGTTAATGGGGGTTATTTTCTGTAACTTGCCTTCAAAGTAAATTAAGACATTTTTTAAGGAAAAAAAATAATTATTTTCTATTATTTAAATCTTTGCTTATCTCTCAGTTATGATGGATTTGAGTAAAACACAGTTGTTAATGACCTAAATTCTACTACTACTTACTTACTCGTCTTGTTCTGCCGTTTTTTCTCGACCACTATTTGGTCGAGATAAAACGGCAGCAGAAACATTAAACTTTAAAGCATTTAAAGTTTAATGTTTCAGGAAGTTTCTAAAAGCACTTTGAACTCAAAATACCCCCTTTTACATTTTTTTACATACTTTGAAAATTTGTGTGTACTGAGCTCAAATCGTAATTTTGAACCTTCGAACAAATTCTAAGTAAATTCTGCAATGCCTAGATAAACCATAAGTTTTAGGGTGCTAGGTTAGACTATGTTAGTTAGTTATTACAAAAAAACAACCAGAAACGTCCAACAGAATGAGAAAAAAATCGGAAACGGATGTTAGGTGGTAATTACGAAAAAATCATTAAAAAAATTATAACTCGAAAACTACGCAAAATCGTAGAACATACATGGGGGTGATTTGGATACTCCTCATCATAAAGTATCTAAATTTTACGCTTGAACGTCAACTCTCCGGCCACCCTGTATATAATGACCTAACAGTAGCACAAAATAAAGTAATGACGATGTGGCTGGATGATACTGATAGGAATGATGAGGTTTTTGAAAGAGATACAGACGAGGCTGACGAGTACATTAACGTTTGGTATACTCTCGAACAAAAAGTCAGTAAATATTTGGAATCCGAAAGTACTTCGACATCAAATCATTCTTGCACAATTAAAGAAAACCAAGATGAAGTAAATCGTCATTATCGCTTACCAAAACTTGAATTACCTAAATTTAACGGAGACATTAATCGATGGTTGATATTTGGACGCAGTTAAAAAAAATTGATACTGATGAAAAAATAGACAACGACGACAAATTCCAATACTTAATACAATGCATGGAAGAAGGATCCACAGCGAGAGAATTTATTGTAAGCTTTCCACCTTCCGGGAGTAACTATGCAAACGCTGTGAAGCAATTAAAACAAAGATTCGCCCAAGATGAGTTCCTCATTGAACACTATGTGCGAGAGTTATTGCTTCTGGTACTTGCTCAAGCCAAGGGCGTAAACAAAACTTCCATTAATAATCACACAAGTTTTAGCACTTGAATGCATGAACATGACTCAAGATAAGTATGCTTCCTTTCTCTATCCACTGGTTGAGTCATCATTGCCAGAGGATCTTCTAGCGTGGCATAGATCGAATTTTCAACGCGGGAAGGATTCAAATCCTCTGCCAAGACTATTAGATTTCGTAAAACAAGAGGTAGAGTCGGAAGAAAGAATCAGGTTGGCGCGTTCTGGGTTCAGTAATAGATTTTCCAATGCAGAAACTCCAACAACGTCTTGTTTCACAACAGCTGACAAGCAGAACTTTACTAAAGGTAACGCGAAACAGCCTGCTGAAGCCAATCTTAAAGTTTGTCTGTTTTGCGACAGAAAAAATCACACTAGTTCAGAATGCGTAGCAGCAGTGAATAAGTCATGGGAAGATCGAGGCGAAATAATTAAACGTAAAAAAGCTTGTGGAATTTGTTTATGCATCGGACACCATTGGAAAAAATGTAAGAAACACCCAAAATGTGTTATAGGTAAGAAACACTTTCCTATTATGTGTAACAGTACAAAATGCACACCAACTGTTGAAAGGCAAAATAATGGTGAGCAAGTTTCTGTTACGCAATCAATAAGTACATCATACAATAAGACTGTTTTGTTACAAACCTTAAAAGTTAAATTAATTTCTAATTCTGGTATACAAACAGTTAGGGCTCTGTTAGACTCTGGCGCTCAGCGCTCATTTATTAAAACTGATATTGTAAATAAACTAAATTTAAAACCAATTAGGCAACAAAAGCTTAGCCATAATCTGTTCGGTGGTACTGTTACTAAGTGTCGGGTACATAACTTGTTTAATATTAATATATGTAGTTTAGATAGTAGCTATAACCGTAGTATTGATGTCTTAGACCAAGATGTTATTTGTGGATATCTACCACGGCTCAGGCCTGGTGAGATTACAGCTCAGTTAAAAAAACAAAACATTTTTCTTACCGACTGTTCTGATGATATTTCAGATATAAGTTTACTAATTGGGTCTGATATTTTAGGTTCTCTATTCACGGGACGAACAGTACGAGTTGATAATGATCTGTTGGCAGTAGAAACTAAGCTTGGGTGGAGGTTACAAGGTCTAGCTGTTGGGGTTCATTGCTCGGTATCTAATATTAATAGTCTTTTGTGTTATTTAAATGAAGAAGATTTCTGGAAATTGGAAACAATGGGCATCAAAGACGAATCAGAAGTAAAAAGTCAGAAAAAACTTGAGGCAGAAGTTCTGAAGTATTTTGAAGAAACAGTATGCATTAATGAAGAAAATAGATATGAGGTTAGATTACCTTGGAAGGAAACGTCAAAACATTTACAATCTAATTATGGGACAGCACTTAAACGTTTAAATTCGATAACATCACGTCTCGTTAAGTTAGGTATTTTAAAAGATTATAATTTAGTTTTCGATGAGTGGCTTAAGGAAGGTTTAAGAATTGAGGAGGTTGAAGATGATGATCCTAATACTGGTCACTATTTGCCGCACCATGCGGTTGTAAAGGAATCCAGTATGACAACTAAAATAAGACCAGTTTTTGACGCATCTTCTAAAGACTGTAATAATTTATCTATTAATTTATGTCTTGAAAAGGGGGTAAATTTCATTGAGTTGATACAAAAGTTTATGATTAATTTTCGTAAATACGCTATTGGAGTAGTTGCCGATATAAAAAAGGCATTTCTTCAAATATCGTTACACCCCAATGATCGCAACTATTTAAAATTTCTCTGGTGGCGCGATGTTGATAAGAAAGATAAAGTGCTTAAAGTATTGAGACACAAGCGCGTAGTTTTCGGGGTGACTACTAGTCGTTTTCTTCTATCAGCTACCATCTTGTATCATCTCAAGAAGTATAACTCTACGACTTCTGACAAGTTAAAGAATTCATTCTACGTCGATAATTGCGTGTTAACTGTTAAGGACGAGAAAGAGATGAACGACTTTATGTCAGAAGCTAAAGACATAATGAAGTTTATTATCCTATTCTTACTAATATAGATAGATGTCCCAACTGTAGAAATTCGCTGGCACATACATTTGCGACACACGGTATGGAAAACATAAACAAATATATGTATTAGGCTAGCGACGAGGAGATATCGCCTCTTTTTTGGCGTTGCAGACGACACACGCCGCCGCTATGCGCCACAAGAGTCCCCACTGTCATTGACACACGGTATAGAAATTGTTAAAAAAATATTTATCTATACTAACTATTATAAAGAGGAAAGATTTGATTGTTTGTTTATTTGTTTGTATTGAATAGGCTCCAAAACTACGGGACTGATTTGAAAACTTCTTACACATATTATCCCTAATGAACAAAGGCTATAGAGTTTTTCTAAAAAAGTTAGGGTTCCGTAAAAACTTCGATAATGTAACCCAACGTGTGAAAAAAATACAAAAAAACAACCTTAAATCGCGTACGCTGCCGAAGTCATTGACAATAGAGCAAAGTGATGTACTGAAGTTTTATATAAGACTTCAATATTTACAAAAAAGTCTGCGATGCCATATGTCTAACTATTACAGTTATGTTTAAGCATTGTTGGTGTAGGTAATAGGTCGCTTAGTACTTATCTGCGGTGCAGAAGAGAGGCGGTGTAAGCAATAAGTCCAACACTCCACTTAATAGTTTATTGCAGAAGCACAGAGGAAATTATATAGAATAGAAGGAGTACAGAACACAATCAGTGATACATAAGCACAGAAGAGGATGGAAAAGCACAGTCAAAGCAAACGTAAACAATAACACGACTATGAGTGTCGAGGCTAGTGAGCGCGGAGCAATTGAGCGTGCGTACGTAAGAGCATAGGTTCTGACTGTGGTTTTCCTTTTTTCTGTGGTTGTGTATCAGTGACTGTGTTCTGTACTCCTTCTATTCTAAAACTTTATTCTGTGCTCGTGCAAATAAACTATTAACACCAGCAACGCTTTAATGTCACAACTAGAGGTCCTCTGCGTGCGGTTTCACCCGCGTTAATTTGAGGAAAAAGTTATGTTTTTATTTTTAAGCATTTATCTGCTAGATGTTTAAATCTAAAGAAAAGCTTACTATAAAAAAATCCACGCGGACTAGGCAGCAGACGGGACTCGAACCCGCACCCTTCGCTATCCGGGCGAATGCACTGACCATTATGCTACCGCGGTCCTGACGGCAGTGTCGAAGAGGAACAATTCTGTAATACATGATTTTTGTCTTAGTTAAACCGTTTTCCCAGCGCATGCAACGGAAGTTCACAAATGAAATAATTTAACCCGATTTTCTATCATTTTTCATCGATGCTCCGCTGCTCTTGTAGTGTGATGTTATATAGCCTTTCTCGATAAATGCACTATCCAATAAAAAACTTTTTATCAATTCGGACCAGTATTTCCTGATATTAACGCGTTCAACCAAAAACAATACAAGCCTGAGAACAAAAACTTTAGTCTGTACTACAGCTGTACACCGAAGGGAAGCCGGGGTGGGCCATTATCTATATATATAAAAATGTTATGTTGGTTTGTGTACGCTTCAAAAACTCAAAAAGTTCTGCACCGATTGAGTTGAAATTTTAACATGATATAAAATCCGCATCAACGATTGTTTTTATCTATTTTTTGCATCAGTCACATATCTGCGACCGCGAGAAAACAGTTTTTTTAACGATCAGCTGTGTACCAGTGACCGCGCCATCTGCCAGAAGCGAGGAAAACACTCGCTGACAACCGCAATAGTAATGAGACGCAGTCACATGAGAAACAATTTCGTTCCCAATTACATTGTTTATTTACAATAAAAAATGCATCTGATTCTGATTATTATACAATCTGAATTAAATATTCACTTAAATCAAGAATTTTTGGTGTGATAGTGTTGTGATCGAACTGTGCCTTTCACCAAATCGTAAGTAGAGTGATGAAATTACATATAAGTCGATAGACACCGTTGTGGAAGCAGATGAAGTAGTTAATTATCCAACAGAATTTTTAAACTCACTTGATCTGCCAGGGATACCACCACACATATTAAAATTGAAAGTAGGTGTGCCAATTATCCTCTTGCGGAATATTAATCAGCCAAAACTCTGCAACGGCACGCGACTTGAAGTTAAGAAATTAATGAATAACGTAGTGGAAGCAACGATTTTAACGGGGCCTTCCAAAGGTGAAGATGTCCTCATTCTTCGAATACCCATGATCCCGACCGATACACCATTTCAATTTAAAAGATTGCAATTCCCAATTCGATTGGCATTTGCAATCACAATCAATAAAGTTCAAGGTCAATCTTTAGAATTGTGTGGTTTAGATTTAGATGCGGATTGCTTTTCACATGGACAACTGTATGTTGCGTGTTCCCGAGTCGGCAAACCAGATAGTCTTTATATCTACGCAGACAGTGGAAAAACAAAAAATATTGTATATCCACAAGTATTGCAAAATTGAAATTATATGTAATGTATTCTTTGTTTTGCTTCTCATTTCTTAACCATTCAATCACCAGTGCCACTGCGAAGCGTGGCAGGGACAGCTAGTATATTACATTTATGAACAAAGTCAAACTAAGTGAGAGACAGACGAAGTGATTTTGTAGGCAGTAGAGCGAGGGTTTGTATAGATATTGTCTAGCGGCGAGAATACTGCAGTGGTATCGCCATTGGTCGCACAAATTCACACTGGGCCCATGCCCCGTTCCCTTTCTATGTGGCCTCTAACATCGACTGTCCCCCTCCACTAGTTATATTAATGGGTTAGTTTTCAATCTACGATCCAGACACACTTCTTGGTTCCTCAAAATATTCAATCATATGTTAAGTTGCATTCACAGTTATTTTAAAACAAATATTTCAAACACACCAATTAATCCTGCCCAAAGAAAGCACTTGCAGATAGAAAAACATATTAATATATATAGATATTATAAAGTAAACGAATAATAGAATATTAAAGTAATAGTGTTTCCTTCCTTACAGAAGTTCTCCCTTTAGTGCAATTTGAACCTGAAGAAGGCATTACATTAGAGGAAGCGCTGCAGCTGATCGAACGCACACCCATCCCGGAAACGGAATCCATGGAGGACACCGGCGGCGCTGAAGTACTGAGGATAGATCATGAAGTAGACTCCGGCGATCCTTTCCTGGATAAAGTCGACGAGGTCACTGAATGCTATCATTAATATCTATACTAATCTGGAATCCTATTCTTTTTACTACCCCCTCACGCTTAATCCTTGGGCTATCGAAGAATTGTCACAGTTTTGACCTGGACCCTATTGCACTAAGTCGACACATGTCACCGGCATATGTGAGCTGACAATAGGCTCATGTCAAATTGCACTATACAAATGTTTATTTCTTGTAATTTTTGGTATGCGCAACCTTAATACATTGATTTCACTTCATAAAATTAGAAAATGGCTCTACAGCCAATTTAATTTGAAAAATAGTTTTTTAGTCTATGCTTTTTAAACACTAAAAACGCTGTCCACCATGATTGTGACGACACAAAATTAGTAAAAAATTAAACGTTATTGTCGTGTTACTGTGGTGTCTTTGGTCGGACTCAAATATATCTAAAAACACATATCTTGTAGAAAAGTTTCCGTTTATTGGTTTTGTTGACTAAATTAATACTGGACGCCGGATTTTAAAAGCAGAAACGACAAAAGTCTTTGACTTAGTAGGTACATTCATAACCTTAAAAAATGTATTTTTAAACTTTAATATTATTCAATGAGTACTTATATTGAAGTGATCTTTGCTAAAAGAAATGACTTTCGGACGATAAAATTACAGGAACAAAAGTTTTAAACATGCGCTCATGTGTAGGTATGTATTGTATGTATTTCTCTAGGCAATTTAAACCACAGCTTTTCTGGAGTCATTAACGATGTGTTTCTACATTATGATTACTTTTACATTATAATTACTATATTTTTCATGAAATCTATTAGAAATCATGGTTTTATAATATAAATTCAGATTCAGGTTATTGCCTACGTGCCTCCGAGTGTTTGTTTATAATTTTTTTACCGTCATAGCATAGATAGACTAAAATGGCCGACAGCGTTTTTGGTTGTCCATGAAAAATCAATTTTAAATTTAAAGTTTTGTACCTTTCTAGGTCAAAAAAAATTTAATAAAATTATTTTCGGTCTCATAGAACAATAGTACAGTCATTTGGTTAGAAATATAGTGGTTATCTGGAAAGTTTTCCGGGAGTTTTGAAAATTGGTAATTTTATAAATTTTGAGGTGCTCTTTCCGAATTTTGACTTTGCCACCTCGTATTTTTGCAGCTCGCGTCGCCATATTAGAAAAATGGCGCCTAAAAGCAGTTTTTTGACAATATCTCCTTTCCAACTCATTTTACGATAAAAACAGTTATGTACAAAATAAAACTAGAGACAATTGCCTACAATTTATGTAACTACCTTTTTTTTCATAAAGTCAATAGTTTTGGCGTACGAGCGCCGCAAAGTGTACTCCAACGCACATTTTGGCCAAAAACTCATTTCCACACTACCTTGAGTTAGAGTAAGTGGCACATTTTTTTTTAATGTGGTATCCCCAATAGACCTAATCCACATGCAATTCAATGTGCTAAAATTTAGCGTACTCTCCTTTGCTTTGTTGTTCTCGATGGACCAGGTGTTGAAATTCATCGTCTGTAGTACCAATCGAAACGTCACAGACCGGTATTTCATCTACATCATGGGTCGATTATAGAATAATATAATATCTATAGTCAGTATAGTTTAGATTTACATTAATTTTATAACTCGCAAATCTAATGAGTTGAAATTTAAAGCCACAGGTTGCATGAATAGTGAGTAATGACCAAAGCGCGCGTTGGAGTACACTTTGTGGCGCCCGTACGCCTAAACTATTGACTTAATGAAAAAAAAAGATTGATATAAATTGTAGGCAAATGTCTGTAGTTTCATTTGGTATACAATTGTTTTTATCGTAAAATGAATTGGAAAGGAGATATTGTCATAAAACGGCTTTTAGGCGCCATTTTTCCAATATGGCGGCGCGATCGGCAAAAATACGAGGTGGCAAAGTCTAAATTCGGAAAGACCACCTCAAAATCTATAAAATTACCAATTTTTAAAACTCCCGGAAAACTTTCCAGGTAAAACTACCAAATGACTGTACTACAATTATTAACCATTTAAAACATATTTCCAAACAGTGTCATTTGCTTTCGTTGGTAGTAATGAGTTCTTATAAATAAAAGTTAATGCGTTCTTATATAGGAGAATTTATAAAGGACGAATAATTTCTCCTTTCATATCACTTGTTATGCGTTCGTATGAAATCGGTGCAGTAAATAGATCACCCCACAACAAACCGTCGACTTAGATGTCTCACTGTACTTTCTGGCGAGTAAAAGTTTATGTGAAAAATATGATGAATATGAGTGTTTGTACCTATGTTATGGCTGTTTATATCATCAATCATCATCATCATCAACAGCCTATCCTAGTCCACTGCTGGACATAGGCCTCTCCAATTGCACGCTACTCAGATCGATTTTGGGCTACTCGCATCCAGCTCCTGCCAGCCACCTTGCGCAAATCGTCACTCCACCGTGCCTGAGGACGTCCTACACTACGTTTGCCTAGACGCGGTCTCCACTCCAGAACTCGTCTACCCCAACGGTTATCGGTTCTTCGGCAAATATGGCCAGCCCACTGCCACTTCAGCTTACTAATCCGGTGGGCTATGTCGATACCTCTGGTTCTCTGTCGGATTACCTCATTTCTGATGCGATCCTTCAGAGAAACGCCGAGCATAGCCCTTTCCATAGCGCGCTGAGCGACTTTGAACCTGTGGACCAGCCGTACCGTCAGTGTCCACGTCTCGGCTCCGTATGTCATCACAGGTAGGACGCACTGATTGAAGACTTTCGTCTTTAGGCACTGTGGGATCGACGATGTCAAGACTTGACGTAGCTTCCCAAACGCTGCCCAACCCAGCCGAATTCTTCTATTCACCTCGCCCTCAAAGTTGTTTCTACCTAACTGCAATGTCTGCCCGAGGTATACATATTTTTGAACAACTTCGAGAACGGCACCGTGTATTGCAATCGGTTCCGGTAGAACATGTTCATTGAACATGACCTTGGTTTTATCCAAGTTCATCCGTAGGCCGATGCGTATGGAAGAGTCAGCTAGGTCATTCAGCATTTTTTGTAGGTCCTGCAGGGTTTCTGCCATGATGACGATGTCGTCTGCAAATCGCAAGTGAGAGATGCGTTCGCCATTGATGTTGATGCCATGTCCTTTCCAGTTCAGCGTCTTGAACATATCCTCCATTGCATTAGTGAACAATTTCGGGGAAATAACGTCCCCTTGTCTCACTCCACGATGCAACGGTATGGGACTTGTTTGCTGATTCTGTACTTGGACAGACATGGTGGCGGCTTCGTAGAGACATCTAATCACTTGGATGTATCGCCAGTCGACTTGGCAACGCTGCAGGGACTCCAGGACAGACCAGATTTCAATCGAGTCAAAGGCCTTCTCATAGTCCACAAATGCTAGGCACAGAGGCTGATTGTACTCTTCAGTCTTCTGTATAATCTGCCGTACTGCGTGGATGTGGTCTATGGTGCCGTATCCGCTCCGAAATCCAGCCTGTTCCGGTGGTTGGAAGTCATCAAGTCTTCGCGCCAGACGGTTCGTGATCACTCTTGAGAACAGCTTATAGACGTGGCTTAGAAGGGATATGGGTCGATAGTTCTTGAGTAGGGTCTTGTCCCCCTTTTTAAAGAACAAGACGACCACACTCCTACTCCACATCTCCGGAGTTCTCCCTTCGAACAGGACAGTGTTAAAAAGCTTTTGGAGCTCCCTCAGTACGGGTTTACCTCCAGCTTTCAAGAGTTCTGTTGTAACACCATCCTCTCCAGGGGCTTTTCCATTTTTAAGCTGCCCAAGAGCAATCTCAATTTCGCCAATACTGACTTCTGGCAGGTCTTCGGTGAAGTGACGTGTTAATGTGGCTCTAGAATCCTCATTTCCGGGATCTGGTCGAGATGCATGTGATGCGTACAACTGGCCGTAGAAGTCTTCCACTTTCGAAAGGACTGCCGGCTTTGAAGCAACAACTTCCCCACTTGGTGTGGTCAACTTCGTCAGATGACTTCTTCCAAGAGATTGTACGAACACTTTGGACCCTCGATTCTGCTCGATCGAGAGAGTATTGGAGCACCGGAGGTCATGTCGTACGTGCTTACTGATCTCTTGGTTTAGAGTCCGCTTTGCTGACGAAGTGACGGGTGGATTTTCACGTCGTTCCTTCATTAGCCCTAAAGTCTCCTCGGAAAGCTTTGACTTCCTACCCTTGCGCTGCGTTGCACATAATCTCGTACCCTCTTCCCTGAGGATCCGAACCACATTTTCGAGGTTTTGGTTTACGTCTGATGTGGTTTCCACGGCAGCAAATCGGTTCTCCAGATTTGACTGGAACGTTTCAGATCCTGTTATAGATTGGAGCAGAGTAGGTCGGAGCCTGGATTTCATCAAACGGACGCGCTCGGCCTTAAAGTTGATATTCAGAGAACCCCGGACGAGTCGGTGATCACTACCTGTATTGAACCTGTTGATCACGGAGACGTCTCTGAATATATACCTCTTGTCCGTCATGATGAAATCGATCTCATTTTTAGTCATAGTGTTGGGGCTTTGCCACGTCCACTTCCTTTGGGGCTGTTTCTTAAAGAAAGAGTTCATCAAGAAGAGCCCTTCCCGTTCGAGGAAGTTGACGAGCATTTGCCCCCTATGATTTCTGCTTCCAAATCCATGGGATCCTACTACCGATTCGCTGCAATTCTGTACTCCCACTTTAGCGTTGAAGTCACCCATAACAACGTTGTAGTGGGTCTTAGTAGTGGAGTGGAGGGCCCTCGATATATCATCGAACATATCCTCCACTTCGTCGTCAGAGTGTGTCGAGGTCGGTGCGTACACTTGCACCACCTTGAGGCTATACCTCTCGGTGAGCTTTATAATGAGGTACACTACCCTGTTCGACACGCTGGACATTTCCACAACGTTATCGGCAAGGGACTTATTCACCAAAAACCCAACGCCACCTTGGGACTGTTGGTCTCCCCCACGGAAGTACATTAGGTGGCCCGATTCGAGCGTTATGGTGTCCTCCCCCTCTCTTCGGACTTCACTTAACCCTAAAATGTGCCACCTAATCTTCCCAAGTTCCACCTCGAGTTGCGCCAGATGCGAGTCAAGCCGAAGCGTGCGTCCGTTGTACGTTGTCAGGGTCAGTCTATTGTGGTGGCCTCCCGTAGCCCGGAGATTCTTGGCACCCCCTGCCCCGCCGTCACCGTGGTCGCCACCGTGACCAGGAATAGCGGAGCTGCCGGGAACTGGGGGCCGTGGCTTGTGGTTTGTTTGCATTGAAGGTTTTGCCCATAATCGCCACGCGGGGCAGGCGGGTTGGCGATCGCAGAACGTAGGTTAATTCACTGATGACGCTGCTGCCCGTCACCAGTGAGATTTCCCTCCCCTTCGTCGTTGGATGGTTATACCGCCATCGGTCGGTTTGCCAGAGCCTCGTCTGTTGGTCAACAGGGTGCACCGCGTGAAGGTGAGGTTGGCTTGGGTTCTTGCAGGTGTATTTAGAACCCCTTACACCCCTTTATATATATATATATTTCTGTTTCTGTTTATATATATTTCTAGAAATATCTCATATATGTATATAGTGTAATAGTTATATATAATTCCGGTACTTCACATTAGTATTTTTTATTTGTCATTTTGAGAGCGGGTTGTACTTATTGTACTCAAAATCGAGTGTGAAGGAGAGACTTGTTAAGTTTACAGCAAATAAAAAGTAAACATCAAATACGAATAGCCATCTGAAGTGCCGGCATAATGGGTACACCGTTGCTCTAGTAAACCATAACACAAGCCTTACAGTGCTTACTTTGAGACTAGACTAATAGGGAATATGGATGATTATTTTTATATAGATAATAGGATATTGATGTATGTAGTATAAATATTTTCAAGTGTGAAAAAATAGTGTAATGTGTCTAAAAAAATGATTAAAATAGCCACTTTGCACAGGTATTTTAAACGCACGCTATTTTGGAACTCTTGGTGTGACGTCACAGTATTTAGCAACCTAGCAACAAAACAAACAAGGATCAGAAGGTTAGGTGTGCGCTCTCCAATTACTCGTTGACTTTGTCATATACTGTGAACATGGCACTTGCTTGTTGATTTGCTGTTATATATAACAGCAAATCAACAAGCAAGTGCCATATATATATATGTCTACGTCAGAACAGTACCCTATCACGAACCATTATCGAATACGAATAGTTTTCAAACCGAAGAACCGAACCGTATGAGAACTTAAACAGCAGCGGCACAAAGTACGTAACGAGAACTAAAAATCAGTACACATTTGACAATGACATTTCGGACTCGCAAACGATACGAATTCGATATTGGTTCGTGCTAGGGGTACAGCTCTGTCGCGTTTCAGATATTTGAAATTTACACAAGTTTTTCACACTTTTCAATTATGCGTGCCCAAAAAGAAATTTTATAAAAACGTCGATGGAGGAACTATTCAAAACTAATAAACTTTATATGCAAAAAGTTCAAGCCTTATTTGAATTACATGCATATTCCCTATTTGCGTGTGTTCATAAGTAGCTCCATATAGCGACCGGACGTAACGACATATGAACCAAAAGCGTGCTTCATTTGGCAACAATCTCTCATTATATATTATATATATACTAACGGACCCGACAGACGTTGTCCTGTCTACACGTCTTTGTGAATCTAAACCATTCTCAGATCCCCTTGAACACACACAAAAAATTTCATCAAAATCGGTCCAGTCGTTTAAGAGAAGTTCAGTGACATACACACTCACAGAAGAATTATATATATAAAGATGTAAATATACTCATAACTTAGTCGCAGCTGTCACCGGAAGGGACGAGATGGCGCTGTATATCAATATAAAAGTAGGCAGACGGACAGCGGAGCACTTCTTAGCCAGAAAGTCCTCAACTTCGACTTCTTTAATATTAGACTATACATTATTTATTTATTGGAGAAGTCGCTTTATTTCCTTCAAAGAACAAATATACAGTGTGTGTTACAAATACATATTAATATTTTATTTATATCATATTGTAGGTGGAGGACGGCGGTGTAGTGGTTTGCAGTCGTTGTGCCTTACTTCAACTGAATCCTGGTAGCGTGGTAACAGTAATACGGGGAATACTGCCGCCCGTGTTGTATCGTAACATGCTGCCCGAGCTGCCCGCGACCGCCTGCCCTTCTTGCCACCACGTGAGATTAAACATAGGCCCATCTCAGTTCGCTACTAGGAATGTGAATTAAAAACAGTAATCGTGACGGTAGTCATCATCATCAGCCTATTAATGTCCCCACTGCTGGAGCACAGTCTTTCCCTATAGATGGAATAGGGAGATTGGGCCATGACCCACCACGCGGGCCCAGTGCGGATTGGCGGGTGCTAACGACTGCAGCTGCAGCCGGGACCAACGGCTTAACGTGCCTTCCGAAGCACGGAGGAACTCGTGATAGTAAATTTTCGGTCACCCATCCAATGATCGACCACTGCGAAAGTAGCTCAACTTCAACGATTGCAGCCGAACGCGCTAACCACCTGCGCCATCGAGCTCCTCATGATAAAATGATATGACGCTAGTATTGCTGTTTAATTACCAGTCATTTCTAGAAGGACATCAACAAAAGAACCAACTATCTATAGAAATGCATTTCAGTCATATGAAACTGCATCAAATATACATATTAAATAGTTATAACACCAGAAATAGATAAAAGTTACTAGCAACAAAAAATAGATCTTTAAAAACATAAAGGAATAGCAGTAAAAATAAATATTATAGAAAATTGCCTTAATAATTAACTAGACTTCCTCTTAAAATATTTCAACGTTTATATGATATTTCTTTTAAATAAAAGCATTGTTTTGTAAAGTTGATGAATATTAATGAACGCTAAATTTTCTGACTAGCATATTATATGGCGATAATCTATTTGTTGATTTTTTTAAAAGTATGTAAAAGTTATTATAATTATCTTTTAATTGTAAACCCCTTGAAGAAGCAATGTTTGTAGGACAAAGGAATTGTGAAATAAAAATTAAGGCTGGCTAACAAGCATATAAAACCAGGATGTTGGTAAGGAGCAACCATAGTTAAAGAGTAACATTCGTATGATGCCTACCTGGCTTGCCTTGCCTAAGCTCTATCCTGGGGATAACTAAAAGATAGAAGTAATGCTATGACGTTTGAGCCTACACTTCCTTAGACAATGATAAATTTTCCCAACAAAGTATTACCGCGATATTTGTCGCGAGTTGGCACGTTGCATTTGACATTAGATCGTTTTTTGATTCGGTATCGTAAAGGACTCCAAGATATCCAATTTGACTTTTGTATAGTGGTACTCACGCTGTTCATAGTATGGTTCATGGCAACATATATTTGTCCCTTTCTTGGTCCATATGTAAAAATAAGATAACTATATGAGTCGATTTTATGAGTTGAATTTGAAGTCCTTCTTTGCTTTAGTTCTTGTTCTATTGCTTTATCTTATGCCGGTACTTCACTTGGCTTTCCGTTTTTGCCATTTGTAATAATCATCATCGGCCTATGTTTGGCCTACCATGGGACTGTGTTTAATGTCCCCACTGCTGGGGCATAGGCCTTCTCAATGGATGGAATAGGGAGATTGGGCCTTGACCAACCTTTCAGACCTAGTGCTGATTGGCGGGTGCAAACGACTGCAGATGCAGCCGGAACCAACGGCTTAACATGCCTTCCGAAGCACGGAGGAACTCGAGCTAGAAGATTTTGGTCACCCATCCAATGACTGACCACTGCGAAAGTTGCTTAACTTTAATGATCGCAGCCGAACGCGCTAACCATCCGCGCCATATAGCTCCTTCGCCATTTGTAAACTTGACACAAATGGCAAAAACGGATAGACAAGTGAAGTGCCGGCATTACAGAAACAAACCATAATATTGACTTCATTCTTGATTTAAGTTTTATTGCACTTTCCGTGGTGATGTATTTGCTTCAAATCGAGTGGTTATAACTCTATTGAAAATAATTGACACAATGTTATTCTCTCATTTTAGCTGTTCTATCTGGAAGATTACGAGATCCAAATAGTGACAAAAGGTCACTGCCCCTTTTGCCGGTACTCGCCCGAAAAAGCGACTGACGACGAAGGAACCGAAGATTCAATTGTTAACGGGTCAACGACCTCTACTCCTGGTAGTCCGAGCAACGGCCATTCCTGGAACTAATCTAGCCATAAAAATTGGCAAAATTCAAGTATTATTATTTATCTAAACCCAAAATGAAATCAGACAGCGGTATAATCTCATCATGCTATTTAGAGAAAGAAAACGAAATACTGCTGCCATGTTTAGCTTTAAGTTAAGAAAACCATGCCAGAATCAAACCCTGTGTCATAAAATAGCCTGTCGATTTTCAACCTTAGTGGTAAGGTGAAAAGTTTTTAAATCAATGGTTGAAGTATAATATTTTGTGGTAGTGTAATATGCCGTTGTCCGTACAAGTGAGTCATATGACAATGTGTAAACAATAGTATAGCTGAATGTATGGGGTATTGTGTATTAAATTAAAACCGGCCAAGTGCGAGTCGGACTCGACCACTTATACCTAGGGACACGAAAAAAGTATCGATACTTTGTGGTATCGAGTACTTTTCCTTTCGATACCGATACTTTTGTACTCGATACTTTGTATTCGATACTTTTACTTAATGAGTACTTTTTGGCAAGTATCGATACCTTTAAAAATTTAGATAAGCGCCTCATATTGATGGCAACGCCATCTTGTTAAATCATAGCAAACCTTCTAAAACGTTCCATACGGTATTTGACAAGTTATAGGCAACGATCTCACGTTATTGACTAATGTTTATGGAGTCCGTAAAAAGTGGATATTCATCATTCTGTCGTGTATTTCAGTAAAAATAACCAAATAAAAAACTCCATTTTCAAGTTGCCGCGAAAACGTTTCTCTGGACAATATGGCGTCTTACTAGTGTGTGACGTCACACGACTGTTATTAAAACGTCAAACGATACAGTGTAATGTCACGTTGACCGGAAGTTTACTTGCGTGTGACGTCATTTTAGGCTCCGCCAATCCCAAGCGTTTTGGTTACGTGACAATAGATAAGAAAACTAATATCTTTTTCGTTATTTTGGCACTTTATTTTTAATACTGTCAAATGCCCTATTGCTTTGTTATAAAGTCAGTAACTGACATATTCAAATTCTTTCCAATCTGTGACTGTGTTTATTTTGCGCTTTGTTTTGTTTCATAGTTATTTATTTAGCGACCATATTGTTAGGAACTGTGATTGATTCGCCGTTTATTGTGCTTTCGCTTGACTGAATTTGATTTATTCAAGTGTAGGTACCACTATTATTCTGTCTGTGCTGTGTATACGTATTTGAAACCACCTGAAAAAAAGACGGACGTAACCTCTTCTATAATTATAATCTTCAGTGAAGCATGCCATTGGCATACGTAGTTAATTCAGAATATTAACTACGTGTCAGATTAACTTTTAACTAGCCGTTAACTACGTGTCAGATTCAAGTTAACATAAGTGGGTATAATGTTTTTTAATGATTAAAATTCAAGAAAAGCAAGTTTAATTTGAAAAAAATCTGAAATGTTTCACACTTTTAAATTGTTTAAGATTTCGATCTTTTTAATCAACATTTAAATTATGAATGTAATATTCATGAACACTTTTTAAGTGTCAGAAATCACAGCTATTTTATTTTCATTATATAATATAGCAATTTGTGAATTTACATGTCCTTTTTTTGTTTTCGATTATACGTACTATATAATAAAATTCGATTGCTTTTCTTTCAATTCTAACACCGGGGAGGGGGGGGGGGGGGTTGCTCATCAGGCCACAGAGGCTTCGATAAGGCCCTATGAAATGTACTCGATACTTTTACGAGTACGATACTTTTTTACCGATACTACTCATGAGTACAGTATCGATACTTTCTATTCGATATTGTGTCCCTACTTATACCAAGCCATTTTTACAGCTGTCCCAGTGTTTTGTACAGCCTGTATTAAAAAATTAAATGTTTTGGCAAAATATCCACCGAATGAATTTATTTTTGCAATGTGTACATATGATGATAGAACATACTCGTAGGAGTAGCACATTTTGTTAATGATAGGATTTTTTTAGAAAACCACTAAGTGCAAAATAGTACTTACCATTTATCATTAAGTTTGCTTTTAATATGTAAGTGACAAAAAAATCTTATAATAAACAGGTTATTCAATAATTCATAACTTTTGAGCTGTGTTATTTTAACTTATCTAAAATGGGGCAGGTGTCGAATGGCCAATAACAACCAATCGAGACAGCTGACAAAATCACAAAGAAAACCGATAAAATCCGAAAGACTTGGGCTGCGTTTCATACATTTTATGTCAACATTTCAAAGTCGGTGTATAAAGTTGCAATCAAAGCGTAGGTTTAGAATGCAGCCTTGAAGTGACAGATTGCTTGTTATGAGACAAACGGCCAAAGCGCCATGTGTTATGAACTTTGCGTTTTCTGCCCCGTTTGCAATAATGTATTAGTTGTAATTATTGTACCCTCATCGGAACTGATGGTGTGCACTGTGAAAGAAAACAACACTGTTATTTACAAAGTAACAATATGCATATTATTATTATTATATAAGAAAGCCTAGTCTGAAATGACTTAATTAAAACCAGATATGCAATTGCAAGAACTCGTTAAGTGACCTGAGTCGGGTGATATTGACAATACATTATTAAAATAAATTGATATTTATCGTCATCACATAATATAGGTATCGGTGTCGGTTCTGTCATGATTCTCTAAACCTAAAATAATATGTGTATCCTTGTCATTATATTCTTGCTATACAGAATGAAAAGTAGAGACTGAAGATGGTGTTCTGACTGATGATGATTTCTCATCACCCGATCTGGTCACTTAATGAGTTCTTGCATAAGCCGACAGTAGTGTCATTATGTGTTTTATATAGAATCCGTCCAATGTATAAAACGAATCATTAAATAATAATTAAGATGCGTAATGTATAGAATTAGACCTACTTGAATAGTGGTTTATGTGATTTTATATCCAATCCTCCCATTAAAATAACCGAATTATTTAAGGTATATTATATCATCTATTTTAAATATAATAGCAATTTGTAGAATAGAATAAAGTATTAAATTGATACTGGATAATGTGCTCTTGTTTGCGTCTTGCAGTACCTTGATTAAAATTGCGTTATTTTATGGTGCAATGTTTCAGTTAACAAAATAGAAATTTGAGTTTTTTTATTTATGAATTATGATAACCTAATATTAATAAACTGGTAAAACGTCTATCTTAATATTATTGATGTAAATTTGAATATAATAAACCATAGACCAACTGATAGCCAAGATTATCTTTCACACCTAGTCTAGCCTGTAAACATTGTTGTGCAAGAATTTATACTAGTTAAGTAAAAATTGATCTCTGTTTTGTATTTTCTTGTTTGTGTACGCAAATATTGTAATTAATGTGATAAATACCACCGTCCCTGCACCGTCATATTATGTGAGTGCGAATAAACTATAAGCCACTGCTGGAATAGTTGTGTATTATTTACCTAATAAGAACTACTTACCTTTAAAATAGCACTCAAATACACTTCTCTTCAACTTCATCGCAATCAGTGCACCCGAAGATAAAATCCTGAAACCTGACTACAGCGCTGCCTACCGGTTCCAGTTATGAATCTAAACCACCCAGCTGAATTCAGATATAAAATTTAATCGAAACCCACTCGAATGCGATGAAGATGGCGGGTCATTAGTACTACTAATGACCCGCCATCTTCATCGTACTACTAATCATACTACTAATTTAGCAGTATTCTGTATCGGGGGGCACGGCAGTGCCCCCAGCAAGTCGAGCACGAAGCAAACACTGCCGTATCATCCTTTACTGGAACCATTTCGACACATTTTCAGGCCCCTATTTGAGAACCTCTGGATAAGACCAGAATGCAGAAATTTTCGTCATCCAGTAAGCTATAATAACATACTTAAAATCCAAAAGGGCATCGACGAAATCGGCCCTAGCAAACCCAAAAGAATGTCCTTCACTATTATTTTTTAAAACTTATTAGCAATTTATCATAGTCAACGGACAATTAGTTTCAAAAATTCAAAATAACTAGTAACTGTTACTAGATACTACAGTCTGTTCATCCTAACTTGTCCTATTTGGTAAAAAATCTTGGCACTCCTTTTTACCCGACTGCGCAATGCAAGAGCGCGAAGCGCGACGCGCAGACGGTATAGTGTTTAACAGTCTATATAATATGTATGTTTGTTCCTTTGTGGCACACTAGAGACCAAACGCGTGGACCGATTTTGATGATTCATACATCAATCGATTCGTCTCAATCATGGGAGTGCTACTAAAGATATGATAGTAATCAAAATTCAATATGAGCAAAATTAGGCGCCATATTGTGATGAAGTAAAAAAAATGAGTTGACAAAAAATGTCGAGTGGGGTATCACTGTCTAGATAATCGAAAATCATGTTTAGGTTCTTAACACCATTTTTCATTTTATATGATTGTTTAGGATCTACAACGCTTTAAAGTTGTATATTAACCACTTGCGCTTTTAATTTTAATCTTACGTTTGTATGGATCTTTGTTACTCTTTCACCTAAAAAATACTGAATGGATTTTAATGAAACTTCACAGTAAAATAGCTCATATAATGATAATAACATATATATAATAATTTATGTAGTTATTGAATGAATTGGCCAAAATATAACAATAAGTGTCACATATGACGGAAAAAAAATCTCCCATCTGCGAGCCATTTTGGCCTGCACTGCAAAAACAATAAAAGTTACATGAATGTAATGTATAGTGAAAATGTATCTCTTAAATAGTTCTAAAAAAGTCCCTGACACCATATATCTATTTTTTTTAATGTGTAAGCCGTTACCGCTAAAATAGTGAATCAAAACTAAAATAGTGTTTGATATCTATTTCCAAAATGCACATTTTGTATTAATAATTATTTTTTATCAAAACAAATACTTTTGTCGCTTTTGATATTTAAAGAAGATAAACTTTGCCTTTTACACTATGTCATTTCGACAAATATTTAAATTTACAACGATGAAAAAGTGATAGCGCGGTGTACTATGTAGGAGTAGATTGCGGGAATACTAAGAGA